GCTGGATTGCCAACCCAGTGCTGGTGAAAAAGGCCAACGGAAAGTGGCGCATGTGCGTCGACTACATCGACCTCAACAGAGCCTGCCCAAAGGATTGCTTTCCCCTTCCCAGAATAGACCGCCTGGTAGATGCGACCTCGGGGAACGAGTTACTGAGCTTCATAGGCGCTTACTCTGGCTGCAACTATATTAGGATGGACTTAGTCGACAAGGATAAGATAGCTTTTATAATCGAACTAGGGCTATACTGTTATAAAGTGATGCCCTTTGGACTAAAAAATGCTGGAGCAACCTTTCAGCGCCTTGTAAACAAAGTTTTTGAACCATTGATTGTTAATAAAGTTGAATGCTATGTTAACGACATGGTCATGAAGACCCAGTTTTCAAATTCTTTGATTGATGATTTAACTTGCAATTATCAAATTCTAAGGAAATTTAACATGAAGATCAACTCGAATAAATGCGTCTTCGGGGTCATCGGGCAAATTCCTTGGCTATATAATGAATCGACGTGGCATCGAAGCCAACCCGGATAAAATAAAGGTCGTACTATATATGAGACTGCCCCAAAAAATAAAGGAAGTTCAAAGGTTAACTGGCTGGGTAGATTCCCTAAACCGGTTCATGTCGAAGTCGACAAGGTAGTGCCTATCCTTTTTTAAGGTAATAAAAAGAACGAAAGCTTTGAGTGGACCGAAGAGTGCTAGCTTGCGTTCGATGAGCTGAAAAAATACCTAAGTACCTCACCGATTCTTACCCAACCTGAAGGAGATGAATTGAAGTTATACCTCTCTGCGAGTGACAAGGTGGTTAGATCGGTATTAGTCAGAGAAGTAGATTGGGCCCAACGGCCTGTCTACTATGTAAGTAAAGTGTTATAGGCAGTCGAGACCAGATATCCTGACATTGAGAAGTTGGCCTATACACTAGTAATAGCAACTTGGAAACCGTGCCCGTACTTCCAAGCCCATACAATCGTCATCCTCACTAATAAACCCTTGAGGCATGTGCTGTTGAAGCCCGAGGTGTCGGGTAGGTTGACGAAATGGGCCATTGAGCTGAGCGAATACAACATCCGGTTCGAGCCACGCCTAACGATCAAAGTTCAAGTCTTGGCAGATTTCATGGTGGAATGTACGTTTTGCACGCCGACCCCTGAGGTGGCTGAGCCAGTTGGCACATCAGAGGCATCAACTAGCGCGACACTGGTCTCAGTCAGAGAAGGCCCGACCTGGGACGAGGAGCCCTAGATCCTCCATGTAGATGGTTCGTCTAATCAGCGAGGAAGCGGTGTTGGACTCATACTGTACGGGCAAGCGAAGTGAAGCTGGAATACACTCTCCAGTTCGGATTCGAGGCATCGGACAACAAGGCGGAGTATGAGGCACTGATAGCCGAGTGGAATTTAGCGAAGGAGATTGACGCAAAGAACATTATAGTATGTAGTGACTCCCAGTTAGATGTAAACCAGGTGAACGGCGAGTACAAGGCGTGGGACCCTACCATGATGTCTTATTTGGCTAAAGCAAGGGAACTCTTCCAAACTTCTTCTCTTGGTTTGTCCGACAAATATCGAGGTTAGAGAATGCTGAGGTCGACGCTTTTTCATGCTTGGCAAGCACTAGTGACAACACCATGAGAACGGTGTACATAGAAGACTTGCCTCGGCCCAGCATTCTCGGGAGGGGGGGCAGAAGATGTCGCTCATGTATTGCCAGTAGAACCAAGCAAGGTTAACCTGCTCATTGATTATCTATTGCACGAGACCCTACCAGCAGACCGAAACGCTGATCGTAGGGTAGAGTGTCAATCAGCTCGGTACGTTATTATCGATGGGTGACTATACAGGAGATCCTTTATGCTCCCCTACCTACGTTGCTTATGACCTTCAGGAGCAGATCGAGTACTCCATGAGATCCATGAAGGCCTTTGTGGAGGACACCTAGGGGGCAGGGTGCTTGCCCAAAATGCGCTAAGGAAAGGGTATTACTGGCTCACCATGAAAACGGATGCACTCGAGCTCGTTAAGAAATGCGACAATTGCGAGAGGCACGCCAACATCCTCTATCAACCTGCTGCCTACCTAAAGTACTTAACCAGCTCGTGGCCTTTTGCTCAGTGGGGGATAGATATTCTTGGTCCATTTCCGCCAGCAACCAGGCAGATAAAATTTTTAGTCATGGCAGTGGACTATTTCGAAGTGGGAGGAGGCCAAGCCACTAGTAACAATCACAACCCAAAATGTACAAAACTTCTTCTGGAGGAACATAGTCTACCGCTTCAGACTACCCAAGGTGATGATAACGGAAAACAAGAAGCAGTTCGAAGATATCAAGTTTCAAAACTGGTATGCCAAGATGGGGATCCAACAAAATTTCACTTCGGTAGCACACCCGTAGGTGAATGAACAGGCCAAGGTGACGAACAGAGCCATCCTCCGCGTACTGAAAGCTCGCTTGGCGCGAGCTAAAGGGTTTTGGGTGGTCAAGTTCCCGAGCGTCCTTTGGGCCTACCAAACAACTATTAAGACTATAATAGGGGAAACACCTCAATTTAACATATGGAACGAAGGTCGTGATTCCAGCTGAGATCAATGTGCTAACTCCATGACTCGAGGCATACGACCAAGAAGCCAACAACGATGAACTGCGAACCAACCTTGACTTAATCGAGGAGGTACACGACCTGGCCTATATCTGGACTATAGCCTACCAACATTGGGTAGCTCGATACTACAATGCCCGGGTCAAGAGACACCAGTTCTGAGTTGGTGACCTAATACTCCAGAAAGTGATGGCACTTGAGCCCGGCATAGGTAAGCTCGGTCCAAACTGGGAAGGTCCATATAGGGTAAGATGAGTTCTCGGTGAAGGCATGTATGAGCTTGAGACGATGGAAGGGAAGTAGGTACCCCATGCTTGGAACGTTGACAACTTGAAGAGGTACTACCTATGAGCTCGAGAGTCAGACATGCACAGAAATTCATTAAGTCCAGAAGACCACCGAGTTGGTCAAGGTGTACACAGGAGAGTGGACCTTGTGTCACTCCTAGAGCCTAAGGGCTAAGGTGTTGAGCTGATAAAAAACCTCGACACTATATAAGACCTAATCGCCTCTTCGGCATAGGCAAAACAAAAAGTAGTTCGCATTCAGCCTCATCAGTGTGCGGATAGGTCAGGCACATGCCCAATAGTGCTCGTGCACCTCGGCTTATATCGACTTCGAATTATACCTAACTATCCCTAGCTCACCAGCTCACCAGCTTAGGATAATCTACACTTAGAGAAAATTTTTGTAGCAGAGAACAAAACATGTTTCATTACTTCATTGCAAAAGAAAAAGATGGTCCTAGTACATCAAAAAAAAAAAAAGAAAAAGGAGACAATCTATTAAACCAAGAAGGCTCGGCAAATGATAAATATGTACAAAGGGGGTCCAAGAAAAGAGGCAGTGAGTCAGTCATCTCGAGGTCATTGTCACCCTCCTCTTTGGAGTCCGAGTCCTTTTCAGCCTCAACAACCATGTCATTAGTGACCCCAATCGTGGTGATGGCTCTAAGGTCGAGTTCGGGGAATTCACGCCAGGTCAACCACCTATAGAGCCTAAAGCCCTTCCGGGCCGATCTTCATCCTCAGCTTGCGAAATGCCTCTAAACTCTTGTAAGCTTCGATGGCAGCACTCCTAGCATCCTTGATCACGTCATCAAAAATGGCCTCGCGCACCTTCATAAGGTCTTTCTGTTCCTTAGCCTCCTTCATCAAGTGCTCGATCAACTCCTTCTGAGCCTACGCATCATTCTCCAACTTGTGGATTTGAACGAGGGCCTTCTTTAGTTCGCCTCGGGCACTCACGGAGGATTCCTTAACTGCTAAGGCCCTCTTCAGGTGCTGATCAGACTAAAGTACGAGAGAATGAATCAGGGAATTCACTTCCCAAAGGGGAAAAAAATTCCAAGTATCAAATAGGAATGAGCAAAGATGTTGTTCTGAGGATGGGCATGTACCACCATACAACGACTAGTTGCCTTTTGCCCGAGTTGAGCAACTGGTAGCTCAGAAAAGTGAACAACCTCCTCGAGGAAGACCGCTTCCTTACTCTTAAGGAGGCTGGACTTGGGGTTCATGATGCTTGGGGCCACCTCAGAGCCCTCTCCTGAAGAGCTGGCTCCACAAGTGGCTCGAGGCTCGGACACTGGAGTCTCCTTGGGTAGGTGAGGCGGGGAACCCTTGCCTCGGTCCTCTTTGACCAAGTCGATAATTGGAGGGTTCCCGGTGGCAACGGTATCGGCGGCGGGCTTGGCAGCGGTCTCTTGGGATTGGGCTCTTCGGGTGGCTTTCCCTTTCTTCCCCTTCTTCATACTCCCAAAGAGCTCAGTTGAAGGAATATCTTCCATGATTCCTATAGAAAGTGAAAGTAGGATAACCGAGGTAATTAAAGATGAATTCAAAGGAAAGGACAAGTGTGTGTGCACCGAGGTGGTAACCTAGTAGGAGGACTCAGCCCGACTCTTACGAGTTTTTCTTCGGACAAGAAATCTTCTAGCGGCAGACTGAGCTGCACCAAGAGCGGATTTCTATCTTAATGTCCCTATCTAACTTGATACAGGGGTTGCTAATGGCCGTCCTCCAGTGCGTTGGGAACGGCCACCCCCAACGATGGAAACTACAAAGTAATGCCTCTTCCAGGCCGAGATCTTGTTGGGGAAACCCTATAAGACTTTGTACCTAGGTCAGGGGGAGATGTAATAACTACATTTTTCTTCCATGGTGACACAAGCGGAATTCTTCTTAATGGAACAAATCGAGCTAAAGATGTTGAGGTTCGAACGTCTACCATAGTCGTGGAAGAGGGAAATGATACTTACAATGGAGCAAATTGAGTTGGGGTGGAGTTGATCTATGGCAATGTTGAAGAATTTAATGACCTCGATGATGAAAGGATGAAGTGAAAAGCGCAGCCTGGCTACGAGCTGCTCCTCGTAAACCACGTTCTCATTTTGATCATGGTCCCAAGGATACCTCCCTAGGGGGGATGCTGTACACATGGTCGTCGAGAAATTTGTAGCGAGCAGCCAGTGCCCGGAGTCTTTCAGCCATCATGACAGAAGGACCGAAGCGATCTAGCCCCCGAGAGCGGCACAAAGTTGAGGCTTCCTTCCCAAAAACCTTGTGTTCTTGCCTTGAAGCGTTCGTCTTGGACAGGTTAGAATCAGAACCATGAGCCAAAACACTTGCCCCAGCAGGACCCAACTCTTCGACCTGGGTCAAGGTGCCCACGTCGGCCTCGACGGACTCCTCACTTAGGTCAAAAAGGCTATCGGTGCTAACACTAGACATTCTGAGCTAAAGGGAAAGAAAAGGTGAATAGAAAAGGAGGACGAAGGCAAGGCAACTCACCTAAGACCAAAGAAAGAAAGGAGCAACCTTGGATACAAAGGCAAATAACACCGACCTAGAGACAGATGCATGACCTTAGGAATTCGAGCACACGATGTATGGCAAAGAAAATGGGCCACAAGGCCCCTATTTATAGCCATTGTACCCGGCCTTCGACGGTCTATATCTACACGATCCAATGGTTCTCGTGAAAACCGGTTGCACGCCTCCCGAGGCCAAAATTGGTTGAGCGCACATTTTGACGTCTACAGAGTTTATAACCCGCATGACGTCTGCACGTCCCCGAAACGCGATCCGGTTTTCCTGATCGAACCAGATGAGTCATCGTGCTCTGACCGCTGGACCGGGCTTCGAACCGGAGGGAATTCGGGCCAAATCCACTTGAGCTTGCCATGAACTCCCCGCACTGAGTCGGGACCTTTGGCACGGGGAGTGGGGGACTATTGATGAGGGGTAATTTGGTCCGACCTGGTAAGCAGAGGACACGTGGACACAACCTGGCAATTAGACACATGAGTCAACACCCCTAGCCACCTCGGGAGGTTGGCTCAAATCCCTAGCCACCTTGGGAGGTCGGGTCAAATCCCCGACCACCTCAGCAAGTCGGGTCACCTCGGGTGCCTCGATTACCTCGGATAGCACCGAAGCTCGGGAATCTCGGGATGACTAAACCTGCCGAAGTGACACCTAGCAGATCTCTAAAAGCTTGCCAGTCGTCTCTAAACCTTTCGGGATCATGCCACATAACCGTAGGCATTATCCTCATCCCACCTGAATCGGAGGGAAACGGTAAGCCTTATCAGCTAGCGCAATTTCCGCCTTCCAGAACGTAACATATCCCTATGGTTCGGTCCGAAGATTCCGGGAGTGTTTCAATTGACCCACGACAACCCAGCTATATAAAGGCATCAGCCCCTTAGACCCAGGTACGCGCGATTTAGTGCATTCTAGCTCTCTAATTCTCAAGATTTCAGCTCGCAACCCATATATAGTATTGACTTAAGCATCGGAGCAACCTCGTAGGGCAAGCCACCCCGGGTTATCTGATCCATCTGTCTTGCAGTTCGACCAGCCAACTAGCAACCGGCGTTCGAGCTATCCTCCAGCTAGGAGCATCCAGATCGCGCACCATCAGTTGGTAAAGAGAATTCGATAATATTTGAAGAGCATTTGTGTCTTTTCAAATGTCACTTAAAGGCTGATTAACGATAGGTACTGGGTTGACACATTTTGAATGTTAGGGTATTGAATTGTCGTGTTTTAAATTTCGAGAACCTAACTGGCACAAGGCCCAACGGGAAAAGAGACCAATGTGAGAAAGAGGGAAGGTACATATTTGGGACTCATGAAGGGCCCGACCACCATGGAAGGAAGCACTGTAACAACATCTAATCCATGTTCATCAGCAAACGGAAGAACTTCCCTTTCTATGATGGTCTTAGAAACAGCATACGCAGTGCCAGGAAGATTAAATGCCCTGAAGAAATCCACATCTGTCCACACTTTTTCTTCAATCTCCCAATGTCCTTGTTGATGGTAAAAGCAGCCCGAGGCAAAGGAAGTGTAAATGACTCTTCTCACCATCTTACAATTCAGGCATGCCTTGAGGATGCCTAGCGTTCCCACTACTGATGTTTTAAGCACAGTGTCCAATGGAGTCTTCCCTTCCAAATCAATGGGATGTGCGACGTGAAAGACTCCTATGCAGCCATCGGTTACAGGTTCAAAGCTGTCGGGTTTGTCGAGATTGGCTTCAAAGATTTGGAGCTTCTCGGATGCACCCAGTAGGATTTTAAGATGATTTACGTCTTCCTCGAACTCTGGTTTTGAAAAAGAAGAAAATGGATTAATAGGTAACCTTGAAGAACTGACAGATGCCCAAAACACATTCAATGTGTTTTCTGAAGCTCCAGTCTCCTGTAAGTATCATAGTTTGTAACAACAGGAAGAAAAGAAAGAAGTTACGAATAAAGAAGAAAGTAGTTGGATCCGCTCGAACAGAGTAGCCCTGTTGAAGGAGTCTCTGGATCAACCATGAGGCAATGTACCCTGCTCCACCTGTAATACACACCGTTCCTTTCACCCCTTCCATGTTCGCCGATCAATTCACCTGGAATTGGAATCGAAGCGTTTCTTTCTTTCTTATCTTCTTTGATGCAGTTACTGCTTCCTCTTCTTTTAATGAGAAGGCCAAACAAGCCTTATTCACATGGCGCTGCCGACGTTGACAATTGAACAACGCATATAACGGAATGCATCTACTTACGAGAAAAGCAACTTATAGTTGCAGACGCCAGAGAGAGGCTGCAAAGTGCAAACGCGTCCATTCGAATTTGGACAGGGGTTTACCGAAATCAGATCCGAATAATAAATGGATCATATTTTCAAATGTTAAACAGATATCCAAATCCGACCTAAACGAATCGGTTGGACTGATGATGGATTAATTGGTCCAATGATAGTGCTGAAGTCTGATTGTTTCATTGGCCCAACTATCCAGTTGAACCATTCAACCCATGATCCAAACAGCTTAACTGATTATTGACATCTGGATTGTATGGTATGGAAAGAGTTTTGACGGATCAAAATCCATCCGTGAATTTTGATAAATAACAACTTATTCGCTATCTCGTTTATGATTCCAATTTATTGGTCAGATGTTTTTTCGATATCATATCTTTTCCAATATATTGCAACGTAAAGGCGAAGGATCAAACATTGTTATGTCAACAGGTTGGTGGAAAGGTCTTCGGCTGGTTGTGCACCAGGATTTGGGGTAGGTAAGGGTCTCAATGGAACGGTTTTGGATTGGACCAGTCCAAATCAAAATCAATTTTGACAGATTGAACGGACCAACAAGGCATATTGAATTGACCAGTCCTTAATGATCCAAAGGGTTTATTAGATTGGATTGTACCTAGTCCATCTGTAATGAATTTATATTAGGTTGGATTGAGTTAATATCTGGTCAATTGGTAGAAGATAAGAATTTAGGTGTCAATGGACCAGGTTTGAGTCAGAACTAATTTAAATTAAAACGAAATTTGAACAGATTGGGCAGTCCAGATATTGAATTGGACTAATGCAGATTGGTCCAAAATATTCATTAGATTGGATTGGATGTAGTCCATTTGTAATGGACTCACTTTAGGTTGGATCAGATTGGACCAAATCCAGTCCAATTGACACCCCTACATGGGCTTGGGGGATGGGATACCCCATTGTGGCCCCATAACGAAGAAAAAATTGTTATTACCATCGTGATTCTTAGGCCATGTTTGGTTCACTTCTCTGGGCCTCATTCTTTTAATTCTTGCTCATTCTAGACAATAATGAATAACATTAGAGTGATTGGTTTCAAAATTCTTGCCATGGGCCACATTCTTTTTAGAATAAAAAATCAGCCACATAGCACAAAAATTGAGTAGCCTACTGTTAGCACCCAATTTTTGCTTAGTCCCTTCTTTGACCCATCTCCTACATTCCGGATGCTCGATCAAACTACGCCAATCACTTTAAAACATACAAAGAATCTAAAAAACCAAATTTTAGCCCAAGTGCCCATAAATCCACCGCTAAATCTACATGATTCCCTCTCGATGGCCTTGACTATGCCACATCACCGTACTTGATCCCCAATTGGAATCCATCATGTGAAACAAAATCCTCAAACAACTAAGCATGCAAAATTTCGACCCTAAATTCCTTGATTTAGCCAGTCATCCATCAGATATCCCATTTTGACACATATAACACTATGGCGCTAAAACCCGTGATTTGCACATGCCTAACATGATCAAACCCTTCCAACAGCCTCATAAGCCCAATCCATACCTACCCACTAAATTTTATCCTAAAACTCCCTTGTTTAACCCAACATCAAGCTTAGATTCTATTTTGACGAATCTTGATTGATCAAAAGCCCACATGTCGTGAATCTCCATTATCCAAGCCTTATTTGACCAATCAGACCCCGCCATTGTATTCAGAGACCCAAAAAACCACAACACGCCAAATTTCATGACCAAATTCATCCATTTGACCGTTAAACTAGAGAGATATTATTTTAATGCACCAAATTGAATCATCACATCAACTGTCCAACCTAGCATCTTAAGTGGGAGGGGACTGACACCAACTCCGTGCTTAACCCCATTAAAACACCTGGACCAATGAATTTGAGCCCAATAGGCTTAAAGAGGTCAAAATACCAAATAAGCCCCCACTTAAAACTAAGAAAGGACAAAACATCTTTTAAAAGTTCATCAAATATATGTTTTTACTACTGTCAACCCCAAATACGGGGCTGCAACGTCTGACATGCCCTAATCCCTCATTGGATGCACGAAACCCATAAGAAACCACCCAAAATTGAGAAAATTTGTTGCACAAAGAAAGAAGGGTCAACTGAATGCCCTTCTCTCTCTCTCAAAATCCTTGCCTATTTTAGTGAAAAAACTCTGTTGAATCACAAACACTGTAGCTGGACGAGTTTCAAACCCATCTCCCTCCACTTTCCCTATAAATAGAGGCCCAGCTCGAGCTTGAAGGGGAGGAGGGTAGTTTTCCAACTTCTATAGCATCCCATTCTGCTTGAAATCCTGAAATCCTTGAAACCAAACTCAAGCCTCATCCCCTGTTCTCCAACTTAACACCAGAAACGCTTAGCCTATCTCCTGCCTTGCTCATGTTACGTTTGAAGTCCTTTTAGTTGTTGGAAACTTGGTTTCAAGGTTGTACACGAGAGGTAAAACTCTCATTCCACTCTCTCTACCTTTAGTTTAATTTCATATTGCTTAAAACCCTAAAATCCTGAGAAACTTGCATTCCCATCTTCCTCCAGATTGAGAAAAAGAGGTAGAGAGGTGAGGGTTTTAGGGAAACTAGTACCTAAGACCCGATAACATTACCTCAAATCAATTCTAGGCAAAGTTGGGAACATATTTGTTGGATTTCAGGAGCTTTGAGCAATCCTATTAATTTGCGTTTTTTTGGAATTTGAGCTTGAACTTTTCTAGCTGCTATAGCAGCTTGCAGAGAGGGGTGCCTAACACCTTTCATCTCCCAATCCTTTGAACTCAAGATCTCTTGGTTAAGTGCTTTCCTTGGTTAAGGACGAAGCCACTATCAAAGGCTCAATTCAAATCTTTCCGAACCCAAAAATGAGGGCCCATTTTCTCTAAAAAATGGGTGGTGACTCCAACACTTTGAGCCGACCATGAGCTTCCCGAAACTCACACCTGCAACATGAAAAATAATCATGCCCCATCTTGCTCATTTTCATTTTTCGAGAACATTCTACCTATAAAATTGTTGCCATAAATGTTTACTTTTGTGAAAGTACTTTTACAAAAGTACTTTTACAAAAGCACTTTTACATGAAAGCACTTTTATAAAAGTAGTTGTATAAAAACACTTTTATGGAAGCACTTTTATAAAAGTACTTTTATAAAATCACTTTTACGGAAGCACTTTTATAAAAGCACTTTTATGAAAGTACTTTTATACAATTACTTTTATGAAAGTACTTTTATAAAAACACTTTTACGAAAGTACTTTTACAAAACATTTATGCAATCTGGTAAACATTGATTGTTGCAGACCTAGGCTGACGGTTTATGAATACCGACATAATTTTTTTGAAGAATGAAAATGAGCAACATGGGACACGTGTTAGTCTGAAAAGAATTCATTTTTAGGTAAAAAGTGTTTGGTTCATAGTAATATTTTCTCATTCTACCTATTTTTACTCTATTCTTATACATTTTATAATTTCATCTTAAATAAAAATGAGAATTAAACCAAACATGGCCTTCATTTTCACTGAAAATCGTTTTTCAAACCTCAAAGAATTGCAGGGCAGATCAATGCCGTAAGTAGAGAGGGTGGGTGAGATTAAATGGTAGCCTGAATAATAGTCTAAATTTTAGTTCATTTTTGATAAAATATCAAGTTGTTGATGAAACATCAAAATCAAGCAGGAAGCCATATAGGTTTTTTCTTATATTACACCCGTTCTCACTCTAGTTTTTGATATATTTTGCTTTTTTTTAATATTTTAGTGACAACTGGAACTAGAACATCTATATTGATATTTTTCAAAAATAATCATTTTGCAACATATTTTATGTCCAACCAAACATGGCCTTTAATCATGGCACAAGATGTAAGGCTATGTTTGTTTGTGGTGCAATTTCATTTGCACTAATACAAATGCATTGGAGTGCTAATGAGAAAATTGTAAATTTTAGTTCATTTTTTCTTTGGGTTTTATTTTATTTTGCTTGATCAGGTTTTATTTTACTTTATCTACATTGTAAATAAATGAGACAAACTAAAACTTATAGCCGAGTTAAACCAAAGTTTGGACTAAACTTATTTGCACTCCCGTGCATTTGCATCAATGCAAATGAAATTGCACAACAAACAAAAAAGGCCTAAGTTCAATTTTTGGCTTGTGATGGGTTGAAAAGATTTTGGATGAATCATCTCTAAAAAAATTCACATGGTTTAGTCACATGCATAGAGGACCATCAACAATACCATAAAAAAGTGATTTATAGCAAACTAGAGGAGTTAGAAGGTCTAGGGGTATATCAGAAAGAACATGGGTAGAAGTAGTAAGAAATGATTTAATCCCAGTAATTAAACAATGGATATGGCTTTAAACAAAGCAAAATGGCTACGGATGCAACTTGGGCAGGCCCAATTGAGCCGGGAATTTTACATGGGTTGGGCTTAGGCCCAAGAATTTGGGAATTTCTTATCATTCAGGCTGAGCCTTAGATAGCCCAAGCCTAACCCAATTATATACATTCATAATTACATATATAGATATGTATTTACATATATACATACATATTTGTGTGTATGTGTGTGTATTTACATAAATGTAAAAATACATGTATAATTTTAGAGCATGTTCATTGACCAACCTGAGTGCATCAAATTAAAATGCGAGTTAGGCTTGGGTTGGGAAAGTCGGGCTTGACCTCGGACATATTCTAGGCCCAGACCTTAGGCCTAAATCTTAGGGTTGGATCTCGATTGACCATAAACCCAGCCCAACCCACTTGACTTGCACTCCATAAGAATGGCAAAACAGGATTCATGTAGCCAACCACCATATAATTGGGATAAGGCTGGGATGATGATGATAAGAATTGATGAATTATCAGATAAAGTTATCAAATATTGCCCATGGATCTTTTTGACGTTTCAGCTTAAATCTAGGTATAATAACCATTTGTAAGTAAGGATGGCAATTCTGACCAACCCACTTGATATATCCAACCCATCCACTTGTCATCCACCCAAACCCATTTATTTAAGATGTGGGTGGAATATGGGCCGAACAACCCATTGAATCAACTAAAAGAGTTGGGTTATGGTTATCCATTTGGGTCAAGACATGATGGGTTCTTCTATTATTTTTCTTCTTTTTGTTGATAAGGAAACTAACATGAAAGAAATTGGTTTACGTATCTTTTCAATCCTTAATTTTTCAAATATGCAATGGGTCAACATGGGTAGGTTAAGGAGAGTTTAAAGTATTACTGGATGTTGGTGGTTGGTGGATGGACGGGCCTTCTACCCTCATGTAAGATATAACCCAACCCAAATCATCCATTTTCACTCCTAGAATGCATGCCAATTAAGTAGGTGTGCTCATCAATTAAAAAGCCGAAAAATCTGATTAACTGAACTGACTGATGTGTGTATTTCATATATATTATATATTGAAAGATTCTAGTGGTTTCTTGTAAATCTTTTGTGGGCTGAAAAAACTAAATTAATAGAATCTTGAATAACCAAGATCTGGTGGTGCACTAAACCCTAGTTTCAAAAAATATCTAAAATGCACTGTTTGTAGATCGATTTGCACTCAAAAAATTTACTTGGAAGAATGTTCAGATCCAAATTAATTTACAACTCTAAATCAGTTCACATAAAGCAGCAATAGTTAGAAGCTCCCTTTCACAGTGAGGATGGAAACCCAAGAGAGAAATGAGAGAGAAGAGGGTTGGGTCAAAGCAGAAGTTGTGCTAGCAATTCTATTAGAGATTAGGGTTTAAGAGAGGTAGGAGAGTCTCAAACAAAAACCTTAAGCTTCCCCCTTCCTATTTTATATAGAGTTATGCTCATTTTCCTATTCGGAGAACATATGTCATAAGTTTTCTCCTAATTACAATAAGGTTTCCTTTAATTAAAAACGTCCGAATTAGGGGTGTCAATGGACTGGTTTTGAATTGGATTCCTCCAAATCATAATCAATTTGGATGGATTGTACGGACCAATAAAACATATTGAATTTGGACAGACTGGACGAACCAATATGACATATTGGATTGGACCTGGTCCGTCTATAATGAATTTATATTGAATTGAGCCACTATCTGGTCCATTGATAGAAGATAAGAACATAGGTTTCAATGGACCAGGTTTGACTTGGAACCAATCTAAATTAAAAGGAACTTGAACAGATTAAATGCCTGTGTGATTTGGGAGGGTTTTCATTCACCCCAAATCTAAATTAAAAGGAACTTGAACAGAAACCCAAATAGACTTTCATTCATCCAAGAAATCGATTTTATGGTGAAGTTGGTTTTAATGCTCATTTGGGAGGGTTTTCATGCAGTGGCTTCTGATTTCGCATTGGAAGGTAGGCCTTACACAAAAAGCCGTTAAACTGCCTGTGTTTGGTGAAAACCCCAAAAGCCTAAAATAATCTTACATGAAATGAGAAATCAACTTTTAATGAAGCTATTTTAGTAACTTATCAGAAGTAGCCGAGTCAATGCAATTCAACCAATGTTGAAACCCTCCCAAATGGCCTTCAATAACAAATTCACATCTCCACCCCATAACGTCCCACAGCACATCCCTGCCTTGTATTGAGAACATCTCCAAATGATGACATCATCGGTTCTGATACTATCATCGAGAGATGTTCTCAATACAGGAATGTGCTGTGGTACGTTGTGGGGAGGCCCCTTTTGGGGTGGAGATTTGAATTTGGTTATCAAAGGTCTGTTCAAATTTGGTTATCAAATTGAATAAGCCAGTTGGGTTTGGTTTATTTGATTTTTAGTTTGACTCAGTTTGATAATTAATTTTAAAAATAGTTCAGTTTGGAAAAATTTTCAACCAAATTGAACTGAAAACTGAATTAATTAATTGAAAAAAATACATATATTTATTTTTTAATTATAAATATTGACATTAATATTAACATTACTATATATTAATATTAATATATAATATGTATTTTAAATATAAATAATGATATATTCTAGTAATAAATATTAATATAAACATATATTTTAATTAACTAAATTAACCAATTTAAAACTCAAACCAATTTGAATTTGGTTCAATTCGATTCGGTTTAAAGATGAATTCAGCTTTTAAAAATGGCCTAATTAAAATGTCAATTTAGGTTCCATTTTCAAACCGAATCGACCGAATGAACATCTGTAATGAAAGCTGAATGCCTCCCAAAACGGGTCATTACAAGGAATCCATGCATAAATTTCAGAGAGGCTCCTGTTGGTACAATATGTAGTAAGATGTGGGGATATGGTAGAACAGAAAAGTAAACATATAACCAATCGCAAGGCAGCTTCGGGTCATCTAGACAAAACACAAGATCATGCATGGGCCATATAGAGAGTTGGATACAGCCATACAGGTACTAAAGTAAGGTGAAAAGTAGAAAACGCCGATCTTTTTCCGAAACGGTCTTTGGTATTATTGACAAACAAACAGACCCTCAAAACCCTTCTCTTAATTTACAGTATTAATTAATTTAGGGTGTGATTAACCCTGATTAAAGCTGCTACTGTACATACCTGCACAGAACTTTACACTTGACCACGTTATCATAAACGTAGAACCCCGGTGCCACCATAATCCCAACCACGGCTGGAACCAATTTCTGAACCTTCTCTGCACCCATATCTTCCATGTACACCTCGTCAAACATCACCTCCTTATCTACCCTATATATGGGCAAGCTTGGGTGCACCGAACAAGCCAACAGGTGCACCAACCAAACGTTCTTCGCCGCTCCGAAGAACGCTTGCAACAGCGGCTTCGGCCATGCTCGCTTCCACTCCAACATCGCCACGATCTCGCTCATTTTCCGGTCACAGAACCCGCTGAACTCCTCACTGAAGTGTCTCGTTCCTTTATTCAACACCTCCTCCCAAGTGAGCCCTCTTAGATGAGTGAAAGAAGCATAATTCGCTTCGCATCTCTGTATTGGGTTCAGGATACGCTCGGACCCGCTTTTCTGAAACCCCATTGATTCGAAGTCTTCGTAGAAGGCTCGGTTCAAGAGTGCTTCCAAGTAGAACAAGAGACTTCTCGGGTTCTTGGAAAATGAGATCTTTACATCGTAAGGCTGGAGAAGTTCAGATATACGCTCATACACTTTACTATCCATCTGACGGAGCTGGAGGGTGAGTGACCGGCTCAAAATCCGGACAGAAAACCGAGCTTCAGAGATGGAGCTGAGAAACGATTCAATAAGCGAGTCTTGGCGTTCCTGCCCATTGGCTGTGCTCATCGCCATTTTGGGGTTGAGATATTTTGTCGTTTGAAGTGGTGATCTGCTGTATACCTCGAGACCGGACTTGAGATCGTGACAGTAGATCTCAAGCTTGTTGAGCTTCTTCTCTAACTCGGCCATGGAGTGCCTGAGTCGAGAAGCTTCTTGGAGAGCTTCGTCTCTCTTCCCGTTCGCTTCAACTAGCTTTTGCGAGAGGTCTGCAACGTGGAGCTTCCATTGCTCCTCCTTGGCAGATGTCGACGATGTCTCTGATGATGACCTGGGACTCTTCTTCGTTAAGGAGGACAAGATTGTCCTGAAGATGCCACTGGGGCTAGCTTTTGGATGCTTGTTGGAGCTATTGAGGTCGATAGGAACCACCGAGATCTTCTCGCGGTCGCGGGAGGTGGGTCGACACTTGTTACAGGATACCGTGCGGTCGTCGTGGTCGGTTTTCGGTGTCTTCCGGGCTGAGGGTTTAGCGCCGTTGTTAATATCCTTCATGAAATGGTGAAGAGGTGTGGGCTGGTGCTTTGAGGTCATGCTCTGCTCCGTGGTACAGGAAATTGGGGTTCCACTTTTGTGGTTATGCTCTTCATCTTCTTCTTCGTCGTCGTTTTCTCGAATCTGTAACTACTAAAGAGAAACCAAGTTATTATATGAAAAATAAAGATCATAAACCACCACAAAATTATATTTATTATCAAAATTGATTTTTGCAATAAATTTGTGGTCAGCAATCTGCATGGATGGATGAGTACTGACAGGAGTGAATACAGGAGACTGATGAGAAGGTGGGGGAGGAGGAGGTGATGATGATGAAGCTCTCGATGACAGAGAAAGTATTGAAGAACAAGAAGACGAAGAAGAGGAAGAAGCAGCCATGCTTCTAAGCTTCTTATTTCTCTCTTTTTTCCTTAGACTTCCTTACAGCAATCTCTCTTTCGTTGTACATATAATATGCAATTTCCCCCTTTTTCTTTCACATTTTTTTTATTGCTTCTAGTTGTAACGTTTGTTTTTCCATCATTTTTTAATCAAGATCAGAGTCAGACACCTTGATTCTTGACTCAGAAATGCCCATCTATTATTATTATTATTATTTTTTATTTTTTTTATTATTATTGTGATTCATAAAACGAGAAGAGTATATTAATGATGTTATATTTAAAAAATAGAAATATTTATAATTTATAACCGCTGTCCGTCTCAAGTGGGTTGATAGTTCAACTGCCTTGGTAAATGGTAGTCGGGTCGCTGGCTGGGTTAAACGATACTGATAGTCGAACCCGAATAATTTCCATGACCATGAGTTGGAATTCAATTTAAATTGTAATTGAATTCAAAATTTCAGATAACCTTGATGAAATTTAAATTAATTGTAATTAGGGCAAGCAGAATAGAGTTGAACATGAACTTTTTCCATATATATAAGGTGTTATGAGGAAATTTTATATTTTGAGTGGTGATGGACTGGTGATTCAAGCAGAAGCAGCAGCGCTCTCATGTTTGATTGAGTTGATGAGTTGAGTAATTCATGGGTGAACTGCAGTTTTCAGCAACTCACAGTCATGAATGAGTCATCATAGCGCAGTTGAAGTATTTAACGAGGGTTATAAATGACGACCACCCAAGCACTCAACTGCTGTGTTTATTTCACGGATGACCGAGAGAAGTGGGAATTGAAGCAACAAGACGGCGAACTGAGAGACGACACAGAAGGAGAAAACATTTCCTGCGACGCCCACAGTGAAACACGAATGCACCAACTGTTGGCCTTGAATTCAGAGTTGCAGGAATGCAGGAGAATCGCTTTCCATGTGAAGTCAATTAATGAGGCAGATGGAGATTGGAGAAACGGTCGCGATGGTGGTCCCCGCTATTTTACGCAAGTGGCCTGTGTCTCTCTCATCGTTCTCGATGTTCAATTGTTTCTGATGAGGGGGTAATTTTATCTAAGACACGTGTCATTGTAGAATAGTAGTGATATCTCAGTACCTCGTAAGCAAACCCAAGAGCACCCCGGATACTTTACAACTGCCTCAACGACCTCAATACCACTCCATTATGTCGAATTGCGAATAACCAGGCAAAACCTTAGGTCGACGTAAGAGGCGATTTGCCTCCACCAATTTGAACCGATTATGGTTAACAACCTGTCTGACTTGTCGAGCGACTTCCCCTTTAAGCGGGCTATCATCTCCGAATTCCCCGAGATCATGATGCCACGTCAGAAGAGCTGGTTATCACCCCACTTGCTTTGGGCGGGATTGGGTAAACGCTACCTACTTATGCGAAGTCCACTTCTAGGTGTGAAACCACCTCCAAACCAAACGGGCCAGAGATCTTGGACGCGTTTCGTGAAGCTCACGATAGTTCGCCTATATAAAGGCCTCACCTCTAGCCTCACAATGTACGCGCAGTTTAGCTCTCGCAATTCTCTAGCTCTCTTGCTTTCTTGCTAACAATTACCAGCTTACTAAAACATAAGCATCGGAGTGCCCACCCCGAGTTAAGCTACCCAGACACTCTGATAATCACTTTCTTGCAACTCGACCAAGCAACTTACTCAGTTTGGCGTTTGAGCTGTCTGCCAACAAGGAGCTCTAGATCATGCATCATCAATTAGTGTCGTCTATGGGAAACGCTACACAAGAGTCGTGCTCTCACACACTCTCTCACTCTAATAGCAACTTCAATGGCATCTTCCAACAACACCCCCGTCAACAACATCGTACATGCTAATAGAGTAGTTATAGGGGGAAAAACCAGCATGCTATGCACACTGACGTCCTCTCTGTTACTATCGGGCAGTCCACTGTCCCCCTGACCTTACCAGGCGTCCCTATCACACAAAACCCTAATTGCCCTCTACCCACTGTTAACGCGCCTCTTCCACCGGTTGATCCCTTCATTATTCCCATCGGAATTGATGGCCACCAGTTCAACTAGCTTGTATAGTTTGTCCATAGGATTGATATGCATATGAGAACGTGGGAAGGCCATTTTGTGGCACTAGCAAGGATGCAACAACAGCAACAACAACAACAATAGCATCAGCAACCGCACTAGCAAGATCAAGCCATTGGGAAAAACGCCAACCAAAAGTAGCAGCCTGATGACCAGAATCGGAATCAAAACCTAGTATCAGACCCACCTCGCTGTCACAACAACTAGAACCAAGTTCCCGCCATGGAATCAACTCGAGTCATGACGTCTGAGGCCACCAACTCCACTAAAGAGTCCCGTAGAAGGCGTCGCATATGTGCATGCCACAATGCAGGAAGGAGCCGCCACATTCTGAGTGACAACGAGGAGGCAAGAAAGAAAGACGAAGAAAAGAAGGAGGTGAGTCAGATCGCCATCTCGTTAGTGCAGCTCGTAACCTGCACCTCGCCATTGGTTGCGGAAATCCTCATGGCCCCACGGCCTAAGGATTTTAAGGCCCCTAGCCTGGAGTCCTATGACGGAACCATTGACCCAATCAACCACCTTGATAGCTTACATGCCTTGATGCAACTACACGAGGCCAACGACGCAAGCCTCTACATGGCCTTCCGGACCACCTTTCGGGGCACAACTCGAATGTGATACTCGGGGCTGGCCATGAGTTCCATTAAGAGTTGGAGTCAGTTCACCAACCTCTTCACCATACACTTCGCCATGAGCAAGCGGGGCCCGAAGTTAGCAACCTGTTTACTGAACGTGGTCCAGCGACCCGACAAGAAGCTCCAGGATTACATCAAGCGGTTCAACCTGGAGTGGTTACAGATCTCGAACCTTGACTCGGTCATCAATCTCACCCCGACAGTTAATGACGTCCTGGCTTGCGTTGGGAGGTTGAGTTGAACTCTCCAGCCTCCATGGACGAGTTTCTTGACCAAACGACCAAGTTCACAAAGGTTGAAGAAGCATTTGAATCCTGGTTAGAGTTGAGCAAAAAATGGAAGAGATCAGAAGATTCAGGTCCCCACATAGTCGGCATAGCAGGTGGCCACGAAGAAGGATGGTGTGATCGGAAGCGCATCGTTAAACACTTCGGAACACCAGTTTAAACATTTATAATTTTTATCGTTTCTCCAACAACTACTAACGTAGTAAATGGGTGAGAACGGGTCGTATCCATAGGGAAGCAAGTGAAAAATTAATATATACTTAGATCTGGGCAAGAGAATGCAATCGGGAATGGCAGAAAATACGAAAATAAAATATATTATTGCTGAAAATAAATGTTTCAAATTTAAACAAGACAATAAATAAAAATCAGAATTTAATAAAGTATAGGAATCAACAAAGGAAATAAAAGAAAGAAATAAATAAATGATCCAAAATCCAGATCCGGTGGCGGTAGCTGCAGATCGGCCAGACAGCTTGCAGAAACCCCTCTTGACAAGAACCGGGCATCCGTCCTTTCTACAACCCTCGAACCCCTCGAGACACCTTAGCCTTGAACCGAACGAATTCAGGAATGCAATCGGGAATGATCCATAGGGAAGCAAGTGAAAAATTAATATATACTTAGATCTGGGCAAGAGAATGCAATCGGGAATGGCAGAAAATACAAAAATAAAATATATTATTGCTGAAATTAAATGTTTCAAATTTAAACAAGACAATAAAAATCATAATTTAATAAAGTATGGGAATCAACAAAGGAAATAAAAGAAATAAATAAAATAATGATCCAAAATCCGGATCCGGTGGCGGTAGCTGCAGATCGGCCAAACAACTTCTAGAAACCCCTCCTGACAAGAATCGGACATCCGTCCTTTCTACAACCCTCGAACCCCTCGAGACACCTTCGCCTTGAACCGAACAAATTCAGATCTGCAAAACAGAGAAACAACAATTAAATCTAAAAGATTGCAGAAATAAAAATAACAGAAAAGAAAAGAATGGTTTATCAGATCTAGTGGCGGTAGTTGCAGATTGGTTGAACAGCTTGCAGGAACCCCTCCTGACAAGATTTGGGCGTTCTCCCTGTCTACAACCCTTGAACTCCTCAAAAACCTTAGCCTTGTCAAATGGGTGAATTGACTAACCCCTTCTCGAGGGCCCCTAGGGTCCTTTTTATAGAGAAGGGTGGATATAACTAGAATTAGAGAGAAAGAGGGGGGTGGTAGTTGGGTTTTAGCAAAAATATGAGTGCCCTAAGGTTTAGAATGAAGGGTTAGGATGGTTCTAGGGTGATCCTAAGGCTGAGAAGAAAAAAATAAGGCACCCAATATTATGTAAGGCTGAGATTTAATGGCTAAAGGCTGAATAGGTGAAGATTAGAAGTTAGGTGGCTCCTAAGGTTAGAATGCTAAAAAGAGAGTGCCCTAGAATGGATGGTGGGGATTAGAAGGGATGGAAGGTGAAGATTTAGCAGTTAGGGGCGGATAGGGTTTGTTAAGAGCGAAAATAATGGGTTAAAAGGCGCCCTACGTGTGGGGAGCATGCTAATACAGTAGGAGGGGCGCCAAACTAGGTTTATCAATTAGGAGGCGCCCTCCTGCTTTTAGTTTTTCACAAAAATACCCCCTCTCTCAGCTGGACTTCACACCAGCTTCCCAAAATCTGCATTTTAGCCATGAAAACTTTTCAGTTTTCCCTAGAATTTGCACATAGACCCTCAAGTCACAACAATGAATTTAACTAGGAAAAGGACATACTTTGACTATTCTAAGGCCAAAAATACCCCTGAAATGATGCCCTTAAGGCATCAAAATGCAGGGTTATCACACCCCCCAACTTAACCATTGCTAGTCCCTTAGCAATGCAGCCTTAAAATTACACTAATCATAGAGATTCTTCCCATCTCAAGAGCATCCCTAACAGAATTAGTCAAGCACCCTGACTCCAAAATTCTCAAAATCTATATAGATTGGTATTGGGCTTAAGGGGTAAAACTGTCTTACTTTGAATATTACAGAAACTTGGCTTAAAAATCTTATTTACCCTTCCATTTCCAGACTGTCTTGATAAGCTAAGATTGATTT